CAGGCTCCGACCTGCACACTGCTCATCCCAGTGGCACCCCAAGAGTGCTGAGATGCCAGCAGTGAGCAGTACAACCTGCCAGGATTAGCTGGATAACTGCTCACCCTGCTCAGCCCTGGGCAAACGGTGGGGGGAAGGGGTGAAACCCCCCGGCTGTGGGTGCAAACTGGTGTCTCTGGTGTTAGTGGGGCCGGTGGGGAGGCTTCTGGCAGCAGCCAGCGCTGGGCCTTGGGGCTGGAGGGATTTGGGAGGGCTGTGGGGGGCAATGCCTCGTTCCTGGCACCCTGGGGTGTCCGAGGGCAATCCCCAGCACTGGGGCTCGGGGAAAGCACCCCGCTGGCTCGGCAGTGCCGGCAGACAAAGCTGGCAGGCGCTGGCGGCAGGAGGAGGGGATGGAGCTGCTGGGAACTTGGGCACTTCTCCCTGCCCTGCTTTTCAAAGTGCTTTTCAAGCCTTTTCTTTTTTTCTTCCCTGCTTTCAAAAGCTGCTGAGAAGCAGCAAAAGGAGCCGGCGGTGGCTGAGGAGGGCGGGAGCGCTGAGCTCCGCAATCCCGAGCCGCCCAGCACCCCGACCTGGCTGCCGCCTCCCCGGGGCCGGATCCAGCCCCGGGCTCTGCGTGGCTGAGGGAGCGTGGAGGGGGCCCGTCTCTCCCAGGCAGTTTTTCAAGTTGAGTGGGTGCCTGCTTTTCCCAGCCGGAGCCAGGCCAGCCCTCGGGAGCCTTCCCGGCGGCTCCCAGCAGCCGGTTGATGTTAATCCCTCCTGACTGCGCTGTCTCAGCCATCTCCCCGCTCCCGTGACGGCGTCAGGTGAGGCGAGCAGAGCTGCACCGGTGTCACACCAGCCTTCAACCCTGTCCCCACGCGAGTGGGTCGAGCCGCCGGTGGGGGCTCTGGCAAGCCCTCCTCCTCTTCCTCACGCACCAAAAAAACACTGTTGCATCCAGCGGTGGCTCACAGGGGACCCCTGCTCAACTGCAGGCTTTGCCTCTTGCCTCAGTTTCCCCACACGGAAAGGAAGGAAAATAAAATTTGCCAAGCAAATGGGTTGGGAAAATGGCACTGGAGGGAGCAGCACGGCCCGGGATGGAGGCAGCAGGCATGAGTGAGATGGTGCTGGGCACCCGGGTTGGGGGCAGAAGCTGTGCCCTGGGTACCAACCCCAGCATCTCTGCAGTGCCACACCCACCCTCGGTGCCCACTGCAGTGCCAGCTCCGTGTGTAAGCCACTTCCCTTCCCACGGAGGGAAGTGTCAGCACCAGATGAGCCATCACAGTGCCCAGTGCTGCCCAGCCTGGTGATGCCACCATGGGCCCCCAGATTGTGCTGCCGGGCCCAGGGAATGGAGCTCCTTGCACCGGTGACATGAGAGACCTTCGGACCTCACAGCGTCGTGTCCCAGCACTTGAGATTCCAGGGCTGCATGGCTGGAGCATCCCAGGACCCCACTCACCACCCCCTGCACCCCACCCTGGCTCCCTCCACAAAGACGCCAGATGCTCCGGAATATCCAAGAAACGCTGCATTAGGCAGGTTTGGGATAATCTCGGCTCTCCCGCCCCTTTTCTCCCACAAAGGTCTTGTCTTAATCCCCGTGAGCGAGCGGCTGTGCAGCCCAGCACTCTCCCTTTCAGCCCCTCACCAGCTCCGGGGGGCTGGAATGGTCACGGAATCCATTACCAGCACCGGAGGGGCCATGGAGCCCATCCCCAGAGCCGGGGCGGCCATGGAATCCATCACCAGCTCCAGTTGGGCCACGGAACCCAGAGCCAGCACCAGCGCCGGAGGTCTGGAGTGGCCTTGGAGCCCCTGTCATCGTGTCCTGCCCACTGCCCACCCAAACCACCCATGGTCTGGAGGGACCCCACGGCCCCCCGAGGGGGATGGAGCAGTGGGGCTGGCTGGGAACAGGGAGACGGGGGCGGCGGAGGGGAGGTGTGGGTGTCACAGTCACGATCGGAACGGTGGCATCCCTGCACCGCGCCTGGGAGGGGCCGGGAGACCCCACTCACAACACCCCCTCCAGAGGAAGCTTCCCGCGATCCCGCCCCCCATCAGCGCATCCCCGCGGTGCCGGCACCCCACTCCTGACCCCACTCAGGTCCCCGCTTCCCGCGGGACCCCCCTGAGCGGGGCCGCGTTGGGGACAAGGGTCACCCCCCCCCCCGGGGCCCCCCGCCCCACTCGGGTTTGAATGGAGGGCGTGGGACAGCCCGTGACGTGGCGCGGCGCCATTGGCCCGGGCGGGGCGATGACATCACCGGCGCGGCGGGGGGGGGCTCCGTTCCGGCGCGGCGCGGCCATGGACCGGCGGCGGCGGGGCCCGGGCGAGCAGGTACGGGGGGGGCCGGGGGGCTCCGGGGGTCGGGCCGGCTCGGGGAGCCCCGTCTCGGCTCGGCTGGACCGCCTCGGCTGGACCCTGCTCGGGGGGAGGCAGCCGCGCTCGCTCGGCTATTGTCCGGTGAACGGGCGGGGTCCCCGGGGCTGCCCCGCTCCGGTACCGGGGCAGGGGGGAGCGGCGGTGACCCCCCGCCTCGATTCCCGCGGGGCCGTGGGGTCTGTCCCGTGGCGCGGGTGGGAGAAAGGGTTAACAGGATGCAGAGCGGTGTTTGCCCGGAGTGGGGCACCGGCCCGGCACACCCCGCCCCGCCGGCGACCGGTGGCCGCTCGCCCGCGGCTCCGGCGAGCCCCGCGCGGGGCTGGCGGTGGTCGGAGCCGGCGGTGGTCGCGGCCGGGGCGGTGGCTGCCCGCGGCCCGTCTCGGGGAGGTGGATCCTCCCCGCGCTGGAGCGGCTCCAGCGGCACCCCGGGGCTGGCCGGGGCTGGGCGCCGGCGGGTGCTGAGTCAGAGCCGCCCGAAATCCCCGTCCCGCTCATCCCCCGGCGGCCCGGGACAGGGCTCGGAGTCCCGGCCGACCCACAGCCTGCCCTGCTCCCGATCCCTGCGCTCCCATGGGTGCTCCGGAGAGAGGGACTTGCCCTGCTCTGCCAGCCCTGGGCACGGGACTGGCTCCCAAACCCGCTCCGGTGCCCCGGAGAGGGGGAGCTGCGCGGCTGTGCCAGCCCTGGGCGCGGAGCCGGCTCCCAGACCCGCTCCGGTGCCTGTGGAGCTGGGACTCAGTGGGCAGCGGCCGCTCGCGGGGCGCTGGACTCGTCCCACGCCGCCCCGGTTTGACCCCGGCGGCAGCAGCAGCGTTTAGTATAGATGTTTCCAAGCGCCGAATCTATGGATCAGGAGGGCTGTTTCAAAGGGAGTTGGGATCTATAGAGTAGGAAAGCTGTTCCAAAGGGATCGTTAATGGGCTGGGGTGGAAACTGAGGCACAGCGTGCACTCTGCACCCCGGGACGGGGCTCGCTCCCCGGCCGAGCGCACAGTAAACAAGTCTGTTTTGGACGCAGCTCCCTCGGAAACCGTGGAGCGACTCCGGCTGAGGTTTAGCCCCGGGGAGGCTCGGTGGGTTTGGGTCTAGGGGTGCAGAGCGAGGTTGCCCTGAGCCCCCATCCCCGGGGCAGCCGCCCGGGGTCCGTGCCATGGGCTGCCCGGCCGCGGGGCTCCCTGCGCGGCCCCCCCGGCCAGCCCCGCTGCCGGCGGCGTTGTGCTGACCGTGCCGCTCTCTCCCTTTGTTCGCTGGGTTTTGTCCTGAGCACAAACAGCCGCCGCGGGCCCCCCGAGCCGGCTGCTGTGGGCCGCGGGCCCCCCGGCAGGTAGGGAGCCGTGGCCGCGCTGTGGGAAGTCTGCCTGTTTATTTCCCGTCCACCCCAGCGAAACCGCAGGAATTCGGAGCCCGGCGGAGGTCGGGAGGTCTGTTTAGCCCCGGTATCCTGTCGGACCCCGGCCAGCCCCTGTTGTTGTGAGAGAAGGAGCCAGGACCAGCGAGGAGTTAACCTTTCCCCTCGGAAGAGTCCCCTCCTGGCTCTGGAGAGCCGCGGGCTGGTTCGTGGCCCCATAGCAGGAGGATTTATGGTCCTGTGCGTGTTCTGGCGTGTCCTGCCAATAGTTCCTTGCTGAACTCTGGCTACCTCCTGGCTGTTGGCAGTCCCTCGGGGAGCGCTTCTCTGCTTTTGGCACCGGCGTGCCGGCGCTGGGGTGGTGAGTTCCCCAGCCTGGCGCTGCTCCGTGTGCCCAGAGCCCTGGCGAGAGCCGAGCTTTGCCTCCCGCCCGCCCCGTGTGCCATCTCGCCGCCCCTGCCTCTGATGCTCTCTGTCAGTTGCCTTTCAACTTCCAGAGGCTGCTCCGTGCATCCCACGGCTGAGCTGCAGCGGCGTCCCGATGCCAGGGACAGGACCAGACCTGTCACCGCGCCGGGGTGGAGGCGGTCACCGGGGCGCCGGGGCTGCCCGCACTGACAGCACCGTCTGCCCCCAGGCCCTGGGAAGACTCGCTGGGGAGCCCGACCGAGGGTGTGACAGCGGCTTGGTCCCCTCCCGGGGCTGGCAGTGACAGGGTGTGATCCGTGCCCTGTCTCCAGCAGCCGTCTGCCAGGCTCCAACATCAAAGGGCCGCCTGCGCCGGATCCCCGAGGGGCAGCGCTCCCCAAAGTGGGGCTGAGCAGGCTCCGTGTCCTCCCTGCCCCCTGTGCGGGTTCTCCCTGGCCCGGGGCGGTGTGGGGGGCCCGACCGGCCCGGCCCAGCCCCTGCCCCTGCGCTCAGCAGGGTGGGGAGAGCATCCTCTGATCTCAGGGCTGCAGGGGCTGCAGAGCCTGGGGTGCTGTGCATGGCAAAGCCGGGGAGCTCGTTTGGAGCTGGCCGGGCCGGCCGGGATGCTTTCCTGGCTTGGCTTTCCCAGCCTGGGAGCAGGACGAGCCAGGGGCAGGACGCGTGGGAGCGTGGCTGGACTCGGCGTTTCCCCCTGTGTGTGTGAACCCATTCCCTGCCCTCCTTCTTTGAGCCACTTGTCCCTCTGGTCCCCACGCGTGACTGGTGCTGAGCGGGATGAGATGGAGAGGGTGGAGGAGGGGGTCTCGTGGGAAGCCTGCACCATCAGGGTACGTGGTCCTGTCCCACTTCCACACTGGCTGCAGGATCCCGCTGTCCTGCAATCAGATACTCATTTACAGGGACAATTGTGTCCCTGGGCACCTGAGGCTCTCACTGCTCAGAGCTCATGCTAACAAAGGGCTCAGAGGGCAGGTGGGAAGCGGCACAGGGCTCTCAGTACGCTTTATCCCTCTTTTCCTCAACCCCTGCTCAGAGGTCTCATCCCCTCCCCTTGCTCCAAGGCACTGCTGGGACTTGGCCGTGCTCTGGGCTCTCTGCCTCAGGATGGGCAGTGCTGCCAGGTGCCTGTGAAGTCTCTCGGGTTACCAGCAGCTTCCCCTGGTAGGTGGCTGGAGAGCGATGCCTGGCCTGGTTTCGTTTGTGAAAGCGCCGGGAATGTCACAGGATCCGCTCTCCCCGAGCGAGAGGAGGAGAAAAGGGCTCTGTGTGCTGCTCCCCTGGGCAGGACGGGGTGGGCAGCTGGGCTGTGCGGGCAGCAGAGCCCCACTGTGCTGCCATCACCCCTTCGGGGTGAGCTGGGAGGGAAACATCGAGGTGTGGGGGGGAGATTTTGGCCGCCGGGAAAGAGCTTTGAGGGCAGGAGTGTTGAGGGGGGGACGTGGTGCTGGTTTGGGGGCTGTGATGGTGCTGGAGCTCTGCTGGCCCGGGGCGGCTGTGCTCCGATGTCCCACTCCAACCTCCCGGTGGCCCCTTTGCCGCGGCTTGCAAAGTATCTCACAAATGCTGAACTTGGCCCCGAAATCTAAATACGAGGCAGGGACAGTCCCCAGATGGCCTAAATCAGCAGCACGGTTGCCTGGCCCAGCTGGGGAGCTCGCCGGGAGTGTTTGTTTTATGGAAAACCAAAGGCTGGAGGAATGCCGGCCTGGAAGGAGACTCGGGAAGGGGAAGGCGTTCGTGCCGAGCACACGCGCTCAGCAGGGCACGCACGGGATCCTGCGAGGGAGCGGGTCCTGCTCGGGCTGTGCCTCTCTGGGGTGGTGGGATCCTACACGGGGCTGGACAGGGAGTGTGGCCACGTGCCACCAGTGCCCAGGCCGGCCCCATATGGAAGCCATGCACGGGAGGGCTGGGCACCGGGACTTTGCACCCACTTGGGGTCAGAGTCCATCCTGCCCGGCCGCAGCCTGCCTGAGGTCCTGTTGCTCCTGCAGGGGACAGGGGGGTGTCACAGGGTGGATTTGGGGAGGGGACGGGGGGTGGAGCCCTCCCTTTGCCGTGCTGGGAGCTGGGCGGTAGGTCCCGCGGCGCCCTGCGGTGTCCGGCTGAGCAGGGCTGGGGTGTGCTGGGACCGACGCTGCCCGCGGGCTGTGGGGACAAGGCTGGCTTCCAGCCGACCCTGCGGAGCCATTCAGCTGCACCCTGGGGCTGGGTGGGCAGCAGGGGGGATGTGGCCCCCGCCCCAGGCTCGCTCAGAGGACAGACGTGTCCGTCCCTTCCCCGTGCGTGTCACGGGGCCGCGGTGTCGCCGGCGGTGCCCGGAGGGAGGAAGCGGGCGGCCACAAGCCCTTCCTCCCCGGCAGCCCCTCCCGGGACCACCTGGGGCTGCCTGGCGCCGTGGGAAGCGCGGGATGCGGTGACGTGGGCTGTGTCCTTGTCCCCTCCCGCGTGGCTGCGGGCACTGGGCTGGACAGGTCGCCCGTGGTACCGAGGGGGCCCGTGGGAAGGAGTAACGTGCCCGTGCACACCCCACCCCGCCGGAGCCCTCGTCATTTCTGTCACCTCTGAGTCACAGCCGTGACGATGAGGTGGCCGGGGAGGGTGGGGATGGTCACACATGGGCTCAGCGCCGGGGAGCAGTGAGGACGGAGGGGTTTGGGGTGCAGCAGGGCCGTGTCCCCATGTCCCCGTGCTGCCAAAGCCTGAAGAGGTACCCGTGGGGTGCTTGTGTATCCCCCAGCCCGGCTCCCCCTGTCCCCCTGCTCGGCGTGCGGTGCCTCCCGGGGGCTCTACGCCCTCCTCACACACTTCCTGCCGTCTGTTTCCAATTCCTTCTGGCGTCTGCTCCTTTCTGCTTTCTTCCAATTAAAAAAAAAAAAAATCCCAGGCATCTTCTCGGCGTGTGACTGGCGGAGGCTGGAGCTGCCGTGCCCCTCTCTGGTGGGCTGGGGCTGCACGGGGAGGGGACAGGGGTGCCCTGTGTCCCTTCTGGTGCCCGTTCATGAGGGGCACAGGGGCAGGGATCACCCCAAAGGATCCCTTTGCCCAGATCTTTCTCCTGTGGATGTCTGCTCTGTGGATAGGGTCTGGGACCCGCTCGTTCAGGCGGTGTGGGGAGCTTGGAAGGGGTCTGAGCATGTGTTCCCCATGGAACAATGCCCCGTGTGGAGGCTGTTCCCGAGGGAACCAAGCAGCTTGTGGGCATGGGGTCGCATTTTGCAGCTTGGCAGGGTGAAGGCCCGCCCGTGTCCTTGAAGCCTGACCATGTCCCTCTGTCCTCTCCCCCAGGAGTGACCCGTCCGTGACGCCGGTGGGATCCCAGCCGTGGAGCGCCAGCTGTGAGCACCGGCCGGGCCGGCGGGACACGGGTGCAGCTCTACCCAGCCTCCCCTCACCGCCACCATGCCCATCCTCAAGCAGCTCGTGTCCAACTCTGCCCACTCCAAGCGCCGCTCGCGGGCCGACCTGACGGCCGAGATGATCAGCGCGCCCCTGGGGGACTTCCGCCACACCATGCACGTGGGGCGGGCGGGGGACGCCTTCGGGGACACCTCCTTCCTCACCAGCAAGGCCGGGGAGCCGGCGCCGGAGGCGGGCGAGGAGCCGGGAGCCTCCAAGCCCAGCCTGCTGTCCCGCCGCTTCCGCAGCAGCAAGCGCTCGCAGTCGGTGACGCGCGGCGACCGGCGGGACATGCTGGGCTCGCTGCGGGACTCGGCGCTCTTCGTCAAGAACGCCGTGTCCCTGCCCCAGCTCAACGAGAAGGAGGTGGACAGGAGCGCGGGGCAGCTGCCCAAGAGCCTCTCCTCCAGCCCCGTCAAGAAGCCCGAGGAGATGAGCCCCGAAGAGCAGCAGCGCCCGAACGGGGCGGCCGCGGGGCCGCTGAGCCCCAGCTTGGACGAGCGCGACTTCGGGGACATCACGGAGCTGCCCGTGGTGGTGGCCAAGGGCGGGGCGGGCATGAAGCACGCCGAGTCCATCATGTCCTTCCACATCGACCTGGGGCCCTCCATGCTCGGGGACGTCCTGAGCATCATGGATAAGGATCAGTGGGAGCAGGACGAAGACCCCGAGGCGGAGGAGAGCCACGAGGAGGAGGGGGAGGCCGCCCTGCCCGGCTCCCCGGTGGTGGCGGTGGCGGCCCCGCCGAGCCAGAGCCCGGCCCGTGGGCCCAGGGACAGCAGTCCAGCATCCAGCTGCACCTCGGGGCCCGAGGAGCGCAGCCCTGTCCCCAGGCCACCGAGCCAGCGGGGGGGGCCCCCAAAACGCCCCGACAGGGAGTTCTCGTTTGCTGATGAAGATGATGATGAGATACGAGTATAGAGGAGGGCGGCCGAGCCGAGGGTCTGGTTCTCACTGCGGTTCTTGGACATGGGGCTGAACACCCCGGTGCTGCAACGGTGGCACCAGGGGAGATGTGACTCCTCCCTCCTTCCCTCTCCCTGTGCCGTGGCAGGACAGCGATCTGCTCCCAGGGCCGGGGGCATTCCCGACAGCTCTCAGCACTTCCTGGGAGGGGAAGGCAGACTCGATTTTGGTTCTTTCTGTTGGACTTTGGATATTAGCTCTTTTCTCCTGCCCCCCTGCCCATGTAAAGCAATTTAGGATCCAACAAGACGAGCCTTTGGAGTTCTAGCCCTTGTAGTAATATATATATTTTTTCCGCCGTACGGTTTTTACTGTTTTCTGATTTGTACTTAACTTTCTTTACTCTCGCTTTTGGTTTTAACGGAGGGGAGATTTCCCGCGAGGAAGAACTTGGCTCTGGAGCTCAGAGGTGGCCCAGGACTGTGGGCAGCTCCGCCTCCCTGGGTTTCTTGTGAACTTTCTGCAGACCAAGAGCCTCCAGCCCTGTGCCATGGCAGGTGCTCGGATGCATGGATGGATGGATGGATCCATCCCAGATGCTTGACCCTCCAACCAGCCCGGGGGTCACCGGGATGCCCCCAGCCAGCCCAGGCACCAGCTGCTCCTGGGGGTGCTGATGGAAGTGTGGGTCTGTGCCCCATGGGAGGAGCACCTGGAAGCCCCCTGAGCCAGGGAGCCCCGATGTCCCAGTGCTGTGGGGCCGGTGGGGCCGGGCAGCGCCGACGCTGGGCTGGTGCAGGCGGCTGGAACAGGTTTTATACCATGTATGTACAGATGCAAAGAATAAAAGGAAATGGTAGTGACTGCAGTGGCCTGAGTTCCTGAGGGATGAGATCTGTGGGGACCTGCTCCCCAAGCAGGACCAGTTCCCTGTGCTGCTGCCATCCCTGTCCCCCGTCCTGCTGCCTCCACCTTTGAGCCCATCCCTGGCTGTGATCCTGTCCTGGCCGGAGTTTGGGCACCTGCAGTGGCCGTGCTTTCTCGGCCCACGGCGGGAGGAAGCGGGAGAGCTCCCGCTGGCCGGATCTGGCTCCGGGCTGGGCCCCTCCGGCCACGCGGCTCCTGCCAAGGGACAGCTCTGCCAACACTGCTCTGCCCCCAGCCCTGCTCCCTCCCTGCCAGCCAGGGAGGAGGGGGAGGTGATGGTGGGGCAGGACTGGCTGTCCCTGCTCCCATGGGCTGGGGGCCAGGGCTGGGGGTGCCCTGGGGGCTCCCGTCCCTGCGGGGTATCCATAGCCCTGGATGATTCTGGCATGGAGAGCAGGGCAGGTCACTCCCGTCCCAGAGCCAGCTTCCCACAGCTCAGCCACTGGTGTAATGGGGCTCTGCCAGTGCCAGGACTGCCTTCCCATTCCAGCCCCAGAGCCCTTCCCAAGTGGGTGGAGAGCGTGGCTGTGCTGGGAGTACCAGCCAGGACCTCCTCACCAGTGATGGGGAGGGAAGGATTTGGCCACCCCAACATCCCTCAGCCCTAGGAAGGGCTGGATGCCCCAGTCCTCCCAAATGGTGAAGCCGATGGGAGCGGGCAAGTGCTGCTCCACCGTGGGGACACAATGGGGTCCTGTGCGTGCGCTTGGCAGGACACAACACCCTGGGCAGGGGACATTGGGCCATTGTCTGGGACAGGGAGAACAACAGCAGCTGCAGCTGGTGGCTCTGAGCTCACCAGGCTGCCTCTGCCCCCATTGCCAGGGCACAGCCCCCTGTCCTGTGCCAGGGTCCCGCGTCCATCCCCGGAGCCGATGGTCCTGGGAGGTCCCCAGGCTGCTGGGGGACGCCTGGCTCCTCCTGTCCCCGAGGGGTGCTCTGACACAAACCAGCAGGGCAGGGTGGCTCCCTGGGCTTTGCACCCCCTGCCAGGACCCCCTCGCTCCCCGGGGCTGTGGGGATTGGGGGGGGGGGCCCTGGGGTGACCCTTCACGGGCCGCCTGTGACCGTCACTGGGCCGCCCTGATCTTTGTGACGCCTGTCGGCTCCAGGCTCCCGCTCGGCAGCGCCGCGGTGCCGCGAGCCGACGGGGCAGAAAGTGTGTGCTGGGCTGCCGAGCACACCCGGGACACGGCCCCGCTCCACGGGACAGGGAGGAGGCCCTGGAACGCCACGAGTGAGCAGGGACAGGGTCAGCCCAGCAGGACCTGGGCTGGCGGGGAGTAACACTGTTCCCCAGCAGCGCTGCTGCCAGGCCAGTGCCTGCTGCAGGGGAGCACAGGCTGCACCCCCAGCCTCCCAAAACCACCCACGGGCATGGCACGGGGTGGGACATCCCGTCACACCCCCGGGGTGGGTCCAGGATGTGGCCACAGGGGTGCTGGGTGGGTGCTGGGTGGGTGCCCAGCGCCCTGCACGGGGCTGTGACTTCAGCAGCGCTGGTCCAGTGCCTTTATCCCTAGTGACAGAATGGGAGCAGGTCTCCATCCCGATGTGTCAGCCCACGGCGCCCCGGGCGATGCGCGGGGCCGCGGGAGCCGCGTGACGGAGGAGGACAGAGCGTGAGGTTAAATCCAGGGGCTGAGTGGGATGGGCAGGGTGGGCTGTGCCGGGTGGGCTCCAGGAAGCACCGTGGCCACGCCTGGAATGTGCCACTGGAGCCTGGCACACGTGAAAGCCCCCCAGCCCAACAGCTGGGACTGGAGGGGCTTCTGAGCAGCCTGAGCTAGTGGAAGGTGTCCCTGCCTGTGGCAGGGAGTGGAATGAGAGGAGCTTTAAGGTCGCTCCCAACCCAAACCATTCCACGATTCATCGGGATGCACAGTGACCTGGCTGCCCCTCCAGGAGCCCGGGGTCTGTCCTGCCAGGTGCTGGAGAGTGGGGCTGGTGCTGCTGTGCACCCAGAGCATGCTCAACGCACCCAGAGCACAACAGAACCCACACGGGATCCATCCCGTGCTATGGGAATGCACAGCTCCTGCACTCCAGCCACGTTTGGCTCCACGTTTAAGGCCTCGGAGTGAGGGGTTAACCCAGCTCCTGGCCAGCCCCAGCTGGTTTTTCTGGAGCAAAAGCAGATGTGGGAGCAGGGAGGCAGCGAGGGGGATGGATGGGGCCGGGGGCTGAGCTCCTCAGCTGCGGCACCAGGCAATCAGGGCTGCAAATTGGGATCAGATGTGGGCAGCTTCCCGCTCTAAATGGAGCGCTCCGGGCGGCTGCCTGGGTTGGCTTTGCTCTGGCTGGGGAGGAGGAGGAAGAGGAGGGTTTCTGAGTGCTGCTGGGGCCCAGGGTGGCTGCAGGGACCCTCAGAGCGTGGTGCTCCCCTGGCAGAGCTGTGTTTTCCTTGGGCAGCCCCACTGCTGGGCCCTGTGAGCTGTGCTTCCCTACCTCTTTCCCTGCTTCCTTCCCTGTCTGTGCCAGGCTGGAGGGGGCTCTTGCCGGAGCGGGGGTGATGCAGGAGTTGGTGGCTGGTGTGGAGAAGATCAGGTTTGACCTGGAGGCTGATGTGGAGCAGCAGCAAGGAGCTCGGCCCCTGCCCTTCCCGGGGGTGGACAGTAAGTTGGGGACAGGGTCCTGTGGCTCCCTGTGCTGGGGGAGGGCTCAGACACCTCCAGGGCACCCAGACCTTGGCAGTGCCAGGTGAACTGAGCCCCGAGTGCTCAGTGGGTGCTTCAAACCTCCTCCACGCCCAGGAAAGCTCCTGCTGGGGGTGCTGGGGGTTCCTGGGTGCAGGGAGGACTGGGGGGGCTGTGTGGGACAGGCTGGCTGTGACCGGGGTGCCATGGCCAGGCGTGCAGGGCCCCTCCCGGCGCGGCGGCGGGGCCAAGCCCGCGGTGTGCAGGCACTGGCTGCGGGGGCTCTGCAAGAGGGGCGACGGCTGCGACTTCCTGCACGGGCACGACGCCGCCGGGATGCCCGAGTGCTGTTTCTACTCCAAGTTTGGTAGGTGCAGGACCGGGCTGGGCACCCCGGAAAGCCTCTTCCCACCCCTCGCCGAGCCTCATCCCCTCCCAGCACTCGCGTCCCTCCGGGCTGGCCTCGAGCAAGTGCCTGATGCCACCTCCTGCCTGCGGGAAGAAGTGCCACTGTCACCCTCCCGGGTGTTCCCGCGGTCCAAACCCGGGTGCTCTCAGGGCACCCCAATTCCTCCCATCCAGCCCATCCCCGAGTGATTCTCGCTCTGTTTTGTTTATCCCACCTGTCCCACCCCTTGCCTCCCGCAGGCGAGTGCAGCAACAAGGACTGTCCTTTCCTGCACGCCGATGCCACCCCCAGCACCGTGGGCTGTCCCTGGTACGACCGCGGGTTCTGCAGGCACGGTGAGCTGCTGGGACGGGGGAGGGTGGGCAGGGGCTGCCCGTGTGCCCACCGGTGATGTGGGGCCGGACCCCGCTGCTGGCACAACCTCTGAGGTGGCCAAGCCACAGCGGGGTGACCCACAGCGTGGCTGGGAGTGGGACAGGAACCCGGCGGGGGTTTGGGCTTGGGGCAGCAAAGAGTTCACCGGGGCTGCTGGGAAAGCTGAGCTCCCAAAATCCCGGTGTGACGTGTCCCTGAGAACCTCTGCTCTGCCTGGCAGGTCCCCGGTGCAAGTACAAGCACACGAGGAGGGTGATGTGTGCCAACTACCTGGTGGGGTTCTGCCCAGAGGGACCCAAGTGCAAGTTCGTGCAGTACGTACTGGGCAGGCTGGGGGGGCCTGGAACATGGCTGGGGGGGACAGTCCCCTCTCTGAGGGGGCAGAGGTGGCCCCCTGGTCCTTGCAGGGTCAGGGATGAGGCTGCTTTGGGGACCTGAACCGTTCTGGTCTCTCCCCACATCCAACCAGGGTTTGCAGGGGGTGGGCAGGGAACAGTCCTGGTCCCCATGGGGGTGCTTGTACCAGCCCCAAGATATCCCTAAGAGGTTGCGGGAGCCACAGGAGGATCTGGGAGTACCACAGGGAGTAACTGCCTGTCCTCTGTGTCCATTCCCAGCCTCAAGGCCGGGCTGAGGACGAGCAGCACGGATCCATCCAAGGTGAAGCCCTTTCCTCTGCACATTGGGGTGATGCTCCAGCTGCCCCACAGCTCTCGTGGGACAGCAGCTGCCAACTGCCCCTCCTGCCCCATTCCCCCCAGGAAACTGGCTGTCCATGGGGGCTGGTACAGCGGGATCTGGCTGCTGGTGAGGAGAGGGGAGGTGAGGACATGCCACCCACAGAGCCACCTCCACGAGTCACACAGCACCTGGCAGCGCATCTGTGGGACATCAGTGGCTGCCCCCCGGGCCCACAGAGCCTGCTGGAACGAGGCACCTGCTCCAAGGTGAGTGTTTTTGGGAATGGGAGGGTTGGGAACAGTGGTCTCCCCTCGGAGGGTGATGGTGAGGGACAGCATGTGGCGTGGGCACAGTATGCCCAAAACAGCCTTTTTGTCTGGAAATATGGGTTTTTTTGGGCTCTGGAGTCTGTCCCTGAAGAGCTGGGAACCAGCTGGGAAGGAGGGATCTAGTGGGATTGAAATAACCTGACTGGGAGGGACTTGGGTGGTGATAAACCAGTGGGAGAGCCCTGGAGAGCAGAGAATCCCTCTGGGTCAGAGGTTTGGTGCAGCTGGAGGTCTTGGGCTGCTGTTTCCAGATGGGAGCTGTGCTGGAACATGGCACGGCTCCAGGAACCCACTCCCTGGGAAATGATGTGAAAATGAACACGTGGGAAGGTGGCAGAGGGTCGATCCAGCACAAACCCAATGCCTGCCTCTCCCTGTGCCCCCAGAGTGGACAGGTCGGTCCCTACACTGGTGAGAGTGGGAGGACTCAGCTGGAAATGCTGCTGGGGAAGTGACTCCAGTGCTCCCACACGGATCAGGGAAGGAGGACACCCTAAAACACGATGGAGATGGAGAGACAGCACCGGGGCAGCTGCTGGACTAGAAAAGCCAGTCGGGTTTGCTCAGCACCAGCTCACAATTTGCACAAGCAGCAGAGAAATCACTTAATGCAACGAAAATTGGACTTCCCACAGCTGGCTCTGGCCAGGCCAGGCCAGCAGCAGCAGCATCCCCAGGTTTGAAGGGACTGGCTTGTGCCAGGCCAGCAGCAGCAGCATCCCCAGGTTTGAAGGGACTGGCTTGTGCCAGGCCCGGGGCACGAGGGTGAGGGTGAGCTCATCCCCTGGGAAGGGGGTACAAAGCACCGTGTCTGAGATCACAGACCAAGCAGGAAAGGAAAATCCACACAGTTTTTTATTGCTGGTGAGAGAATTTCTCGTGAACCACCTCCGACACAGCACTACTGCACCTCGCTGAATAAAGAGCTCAGATTTTTTAATTCTTGGCTTTATTTTTCGTGCCTGTAACATGACCAACCCTTTCCCAGACATGTTTGGGAATGGCAGGCTCCAACTAGCACTCCTGACTCCTTGTCTGTCTAATGCAGACACGGCTTTGCCCTTTGGGCACAACAGCTCCTGCAGTGGATTTTTCTCCTCCAGAAATAGGGCACTGTGGTCTGAGCTGCTGCTTTAGTGCCTTCACAAAGGTTCTGACCAGTCCCACCAGCACAAGGGGTGAGTATAAACTGGGCTTTGCTGGGTGAATTTAAAGGGAATTGTTATTGGGGTTGAAGCCCACCCTGCCACAAACCTCACTGCTAACACTCAGTTACAGCATAATGTCAATTAATCTCTAATAACAGCTCAGGGCAGGAGCCTGTCCTGTGTCTGCTGTGCCAAAGCAAGGGATTTGGGATTCTGCAGACTCCAAGAGCTCTACTGCACACACAGATCTCTCAGGGGTAGCTCTAATGCTTCCTTATTTCTCTACTGAAAGCTCCCTGACCCACAGAGGGGTGACCATGGGCTGTCACTGTCACCCCTCTGCTGCACGAGGGCCCCCTGCCAAGCAGCCCCCCACCTTCCAGCCCCTGTCCTGACAGCAAACAGGCCTCTCTGTGCTGGGAATCCCTGCTGGGACACTGGCTGTGAGCCCTTCTGCTGCCTCCCAAGGAGCTGTGACCGTCCTGTGGGTGCTGCTCCAGCTCCTTCAGTGGTATTTACGCCACCGGTGACGCTCTGGAAAAACAGGGAAGAAAACATTCCAGTGTCAGCACAAAGGGATGTTTGGGGGGCTCCAGGGGTGGGCTCTGCCCTGTTCCTGATGAGCCTCACTATAGCTTCTCTGTGCATGAGCAAGGGGAAACCACCCCACCACCAGCAACCCCCTTGTCATTTGTGAGGAAATCCAGGGAATGGGAGCCCTGTGTTGGAACATCTCCTCCCTCTGCTCTGTGCAGGGTTTCAAAGTGCTCCTGACACTCCTGGTGCTCCCCAGGGAGAAGCTGTGAGTCAGCAACTGTTATCACCACTTTTAGTGACTGAATTCCTCTGCTTACCTCCAGAATCCTGCTCTCTCAGCTCTGATATTGGTCTTAACTGTGGAGTATTTAAATTATTCCAGAGCTTTAACTAACAGGAATGGTAAATAGACTTCCCAACTGCTGCAAAAGGGAGAATGCCTGAAATAAGAGAGACCCCAAGCAGGAAATCTTACTGAAGTGCTGATAGTTCCAGCTGTAGCTGAGCAGGCAGTACCCAGTCAGGAGCATGGAGATCCCAGTGTGTCCCCCCCTCCTCACGTTGATGTATTTGGCATAATAACTGTTCCAGGCTGTTGGGAGACAAAGGAAAGGGACGAGTCATGTGCTGGTCTTTGGAATTCCCTGGTTTCCATGCAGTTTTCCAAAGCCAGAATGTTGGGTCTGTTCATTTATTCACACAGAGGGCAGGGTTAGGTGGGATATTGGGAAGGAATCCTTCCCTGGGAGGGTGGGGAGGCCCTGGCACAGGTTGCCCAGAGAAGCTGTGGTTGCCCCATGCCTGGAAGTGTCCAAGGCCAGGTTGGACAGGGCTTGGAGCAACCTGGGCTGGTGGAAGGTGTCCCTGCCCATGGCAGGGGTGGAACTGGATGAGCTTTAAGGTCTCTTCCAACCCCAACCATTCCATGATTTGCTGCTTTATAAAGACCCAGGGTGGCCACTTGGACAAGGCTGCAGCAGCTAAATCAGGGGAGTGGGATGCCTCTGCCCCAGAAGGCTGGAATTCTCACCTTTCTGCACTGCTCCAAGCAGCCCCTGGGGAGAGAAGTCGCAGGTGCTGATCCAGGAGTGCAGCTCCCCCAACCTCACCTCCATCAGGGGCCTCTCCGAGAGGGGACCTGGGGGGTGACAGTCACAGTGGGCACAGGCAGGACAAGGTGTGGGGTGTTTGTGTGGGGAGCTGGGATCTGACACGGGATTTGGGGTTGGAAGCGGAGAGGGAACTGTCTGTCCCACAAAGTTTGGGCTCCAGCAGCCCAAACGTGCAAGAACCTGATTCCAACCCACACAAAACCATGAACTGTTGGTTTTGCAGGCTGGAGGAGGCACAGCTGACCTCCTTGGCTTCTCCTGGGTCCCTTCCTGGACCAGCCCAGCAGGTCAGCATTCCCTGCCCCTCCTCTCCCATTCACACCTCCCATTGCAGCCTGACAGTGCAGCAAATCCCAGCACAGAGGCTTTGGTTACCTCGGTGTCCCTCTGAGAAACTGCCCCTTGGTGTCTTCACTGTGATCCCCACATCTTCTTGGAAATGCTTCCCTGGAAAGATCCTCAGCCCCTCACGCTCAGGATACAAGTCTGGAAACCACTCCAAGCCTGTGGCTCCTGCCCAGGTGCTCCTGCCAGAGGCCTGGGATGAATAGGTGGGCTGGAATTTGGGGGAGTGGAGCCAGGACTGGTGCAGGGCCAGCCCCGGGTCTCTCCCTGTGCCCAGGACGGGCTCGGACACTCCAACCATCTGCTCCCTGCTGTCCTTGAGCCTCTCCAGGCTGCTGAGCTCATTCTTGGATGTCCCTTCATTGTGACCTCCCAAACCCTCCGTCACTGACAGATGGAGGTTCTTGGGATGCAAATCAGACACAGGGGCTTTATATCCCACACCAACTTCCCGGTGCACCTGCTCCTCTCCTGCCACGGATTTGTCTGTTCTCTCCTGCTGAACGAGGTCACCGGGGCTATTTCTGCCCTCGGGAGGTTCTTTAAGTACTTTTGTTGCCTTTAAGCTGCTTTTTCCTCCCTTTTTGCTCCCGGGCACGCCCCTCGCAGCCCCCAGGCTCTGAGTCTCCGCGGGTGTGGATTTTGGAGCGGTTTTGCCCCGCTCTGGGTGGGCAGCACTGCCGGGATCCGTCCCTCCTGCTGCTCCTGCCCCGCTCCTGGGCTTCTTCTCCCTGACCACCCTGGCGCGGTGCTTCTCGATCACCACCTTCACTCCGTTCTCCAGCCTCTGGGGAACATCCTCCACCTCCTCGGGGAGCAGGTCCAGGGCTCTGGCCACGTCCTGCACCGCGGGCTCCACATCCCGGCCGGTCCTGGGGGCGCCGAGACCCGGCCCGGGGTCGGTACCGGGGGTCGGGGTCGGGAGGGGACCCGGGCTCGGTGCTGACCCCGGAGCGGTGGCGGGGACTGGGCTCGTTTTCCTTTTCGCTCCCGCTCCCGGTGCCGATCCCGAACTGCTGGCGGGGGCCGGGCGGGGATCTGGGCTCGGTGCTGACCCCGGAGCAGTGGCGGGGACCGGGCTCGTTTTCCTTTTCGCTCCCGATCCTGCTCC